CACTCTTTCAAAATGTGAAAATCTATTCAGTTTGGTATTAAACTCGTATGCTCTAGACTACTTTGTAAGCTTGACTCAGCGTTCACATGCCCAAAGTAAAGATACTTTTCCTCTGCCTAACTGAAGAGAATTTATCAAGCTGCTCACTGAAGAGTTGCATGTCTGTCACATTCACAAGACGTTCTATGACCTGCTTCACATTATGGTAATTCGGGGATTTGGTTGGTTTAAAGATTAGGCAGAGGTAACCAATTCTCTAACATTTTTCCCTATTTTTTTTTATATAAATGAGAGGAGAGAAACAAAACAAACAAAATGCTATGATGAAGCCAACATTCAAACCATTTAAAATGAAAGGACAAATTAAAAAAGAATTCATACATTACTCCACGCCAGTCCCCTCTCAGTCATAATGAAGGCCTATGACGCTAAAACAGCTGGTGCCTGTTAGATTACTGTATTGTTTACACAGAACATGTTAAGCCATCTTGAATTCAAAGTTTCTTCCTTCCCCATGTCAAGTTTTCCCCTTTTTGTTTAAAAATACAAAATCAGTGTAAGTCCTGCAGACAAGACTCAAGGTGTGAAAAATTCTCAGGCCTGCAGAGCACAGAATTGCTGAAATACAGCCAGTATGTGATGGTCCAGTTCAGCTGTGAACAGAAGGTTTTCCAAGGTCAGCATGTACTGCTGGATTATCTGGTGATGCTGCAGACAGACAGAGACAGATACCTTTGTTACTCTTTTTTGCCCTTCTGTACAAAGCATGCAGAGAACAGAACATGTACCAAAACCCAGAAGCCAAATGTCTGACCAAAATTTAGGGCTGCAAATAATTTCTACCACTTGCAAGAAAGGTGTGGTGTGGAGAGTTGACCGGATCTAGGAGCAGCATTTGCATGTCTATCTTGTACTCCTATCTGCTATATTCTACCTCTGCAAAACAAGCTGGAAGATTTTAGCAATGGTGACCCTACAGACCTGATCCTGCAGTGAGTTGTGAGCGGGCCTCTGCACATGTAGGATTGTGTCTGAATACACGCTAAGAGGCCATGTAAATATCATTAACGAATATGGGAGAGTAATCCACACAAAGAATTACATACCATATACTGTTCAGTGACCAAACAGCATCCAGAGAGAGAAACACTTTCAATTTCTTGGCCCAGCACCTAAGGCTTATTTTTGTCTTTACACACTGGCTACCAGATTTTAAAGAAAGACAGCAGAGTTAAGTCTTGTATTTTAATAGGGTTCTTGAACATTTCCTCCCAGAGCTGTAGTCATTTCACAGATAAAGATTTATAAATCAATTCTTAGCCCTTACATTTAATAGCATCTCTGAGTGGATCTCAAAATGCCTTTGCACGTCTTGATATATCCCTTAAGCTTTGTATTTACATTCACTTTATAATGGAGGGATAGTTAAATAGTTTACCTACAGTAATAATGAGTCATTAGCAAAACGGATTAGAGCCAAGACGACCTATACACAACCTCTTATGCTAACTGACTGGGACAACAACTGCTCCCACAAAGTGAATGAGGCTAGACTAACAGGATTGATTCTCAAGTTACTCTAAGCATTATCCACCTGCTGAATGAGACCAACCTGTAAGAAGATCTGTTGCAGCCTCTCTATACAGTTCTTGTACCATGGCGTAATCACATCAATTCCACCAGTTTCACACCGCACTAAATGCTCTGTTAATATCATAATGAAACGCTTAAAAAAAAAAAAAGAATAGTTTTATTGAAGTACTGGCTAAGCATATCTTGGAAAATGAAGGCAATTCACTAATCTTAGATGGGTATGCATATGAACAAATTAATCTAGCAGATACTCTATAGACAGAAGTTACGAACAGTCAAGTCTGAATAATTAAATTAAAGAGATACTGAACTCTAAAATACCTGCATTTAGACAACATTGCACTTTCCAGAACAAGCAAAGGCAACTAGTAAAAAAATTCCTTTATTCAAACACTTCAGAGCTGAACAAGTCCTCTCTAGGGGAAACCTAGCAGGTTCTTGCCCTGGTGTGGCTGAACCTCCCATAGGATACACCTACACTACAGGACAAAGTCAAATTAAGATACACAGCTTCAGCTACATTAATCGCATAGCTGAAGTTGAAGCTGCTTAATTTGACTTTTGGCATGGTCTACACTACAGGAAGTTGCAGGGAGAACACTCTTCCTTCAATTTCTCTTACTCTTCCTGAAAGCAGGACTACCAGCATCGACCGGAGTGCCCCTCTTACTTTGAATTAGCTGTTTTAACTAGACCTGCTAATTTGAACCCTGGAAGGTTGACAGTGGCAGTTCTATCTTCTTCTGTGGACATACCCATACCGAAGCTGTTCATTACCTCCAACTGTAGTCCCCTTAAAAGTGGAGTTACCAGAGGGGGGAAAGTGGAGTTACCAGAGGGGGGAAAGCCCACACAGTTACCTGGAAAATAACAAGGAAGAGATTCTTTTGTTCACTCTGAGCAGACTCTACTTTCTCCTGCAAGCGTTCTATCTGCTCTTCCAATGGTCCATCTTCCCTGTCGCTGCTTCGGTCGTCATCATCATAGTCGTCATCACTGTCTCGCTAGAAGCAAAAGTAACAAAGTTACAGGCCTTGGTAAAATTCGGCTACTGAGACACCCTGGCAGTGCGCACTTATACAAGGGACGTGCATGGCTGCTTGCAACCTGCCTGATGAAGCCTGACAGAAGTGGATATACTCTGCAGTCATTTGTGAATACTGCATGCTTGGGCTGTTTGCTATAGGTATATGCTGCTTTAGTTTACATGGGGCTGGACGGAAGGACACTTGGACAGACAGGAAAAGGTCTGGAACCAGGACATCAAAAGAACTGAGACAGGTTTAAAGAGGAAGAATTTTCCTCCCAAGGAAGGGGAGAGTTCTCAAGCGAAACAAGACAAACACACTCAAGCTCAGTGGGGAATGTCTGAAGACATTTGGCCTGCTTGGTTAATTGCTGGGATGGTAAGCAGAGAGGTTGTTTTAAAACCTTTAAATGCTTTGTTTCTATTGTTAAAAAAAACCCCTTGGTTTAGAAAGGCTGGTCAATAAACAAACCACTAGTCACAGGCTGTGTCTAGACTACATGCCTCTGTCGTCAGAGGCACGTAGATTAGACACATAGGCAAAGTCCAATGAAGCAGCGATTTAAATAATCGCGGCTTCATTTAAATTTACAGGGCTGCCGCGCTGAGCCGACAAACAGCTGATCAGCTGTTTGTCCGCTCAGCGCGCTAGTCTGGCCTCTCTCCTGCCGACATCAAAGCCCTTTGTCGGCAGCCCCGTTATTCCTCGTGGGATGAGGTTTACCAGGGCTGCCGACAAAGGGCTTTGATGTCGGCAGGAGAGAGGCCAGACTAGCGCGCTGAGCCGACAAACAGCTGATCAGCTGTTTGTCGGCTCAGCGCGGCAGCCCTGTAAATTTAAATGAAGCCGCGATCATTTAAATTGCGGCTTCATTTGACTTTGCCAAACAAACAAATCTACATGGCTCCGTCGACGGAGCCATGTAGTTTAGACGTACCCACAGATCCTGAAGGAAAGAACGGAAGATGCCAGAACTCCGTAGAATCTGCTCAGTGTGCACCATTAATACGGGATCTGGGCTCTTTGGGGTGCTCATGAAGAAAGAAAAATGTCGATACTAATTACTGTCTGTCCTAATCTAGTTAAAACAAACCTTCAGAACTGTCATTTGTCTTTTAGAAACAAGCCATGAGTCAGTTCAAGAAAGTTATATAAAAAAACTGCAGTTCAGTAGGAAATAAGGAATTGGGCAGATTAGGGTTCTGACTGCAGGTAATATTTCTTTTGTTATTTGTATGAAAGATTGTTTTCCTGCACATCTGTCAATTAATTAACAGCTATAAACTTCAAATATTTGTACAAATATTTTATGCAAAAACATATAGGATGACAAAACGAGGGCCCTGGGTTAAGTAATCCAACAGGTAGGATTACTTGCTTGTCAATTTTTATGCTTCCTCAGCAGCCCAAGATTAACTTTTCTGCAAAGTGGCTTACATCAGCATTAACACAGGATAGGTCCAGTTCTCTAGGGATAGAGCGCAAGGGAGCACTGGTCACACATCACAGGCCACAATATTGCTCAGAACTGAATTCTAACATCATTGGAAGTGCAGTAAATAAAGAGATTTATGCTAAAGATAAATGGAGAAGACATTCAAGGTGCTAAGTGCCTCTATAGCATACAGGCTGTGTGTTCAATTTTTCCCACAAGTACCCTTTGGGATGTTAGCAATCTAATCAGTTTCTTCAAACATCAGCTTTCCTATTTATTCTTCTTTGGCATTCAGTTATCCTTTGAACCAAAATAATGGTGCTTTAAAAAATAATACTGACGTCCTTACACACATGGGGTAGCTTTTAATGTTCACCTTTTTGTATGGTAACTTTTGGGAGCAGAGTCACACATGGACACTCAAAGTATCCTGAGCAACCAAAGAGTATGTGAAACTGTCCAAATCCAGCAGCCTGCCATGAAAAGCTGAAATACTGAGTATACAATTTCCATTTCTGCATAAGAATGTTCTAGAAAACAAGACTGAGTTAGGTGGGAGGTAGCTGTCACTAAAACATTTATAGTTGGCAACAAAAATTTAGGGTTTTTTGTAGTTAACTTGTAAGACCTAAACATGTAGTAAAGGCATGCAATCTTAGCTTCATTTACTTTGGCTTCCTAGCTGTAACAGCTTCTACAGCTGTTTTGAAGATCATATTAGTATCACAATCCCTGTGGAATCCAAGTTAATACCCAAGTGCTACAGATGGCATATTTTAGTAGCAACATTAACAGTATATTCATTTTGAGTCTCACAGAGCAAGTCTCATATCAGCTGAGACGTTTCTTGCCACAGAAAAAGTATGATTTAGTCTGAAATGCAGTCAATTAGAAATTCAGGCAACTTTACTTCAAGCTGATATATTTACAAGGTACAAAACAAGTTACATACTCGTTTGTGTTGCCTGGCTAATCTTGCTTTAGTCTCCTCTAGCTCTTTTTGGATCTTCACTACGTGCTTGTTCATCTTACGAATTGTGGAGTGCAAGATCTCCCAGATATAAAACCTAGCAAAAAAGCAATTATAACTTAATTGTAACTCATTACAAATTACAGGATACGGTAAATAGTAAACTGTTAAAGAGCAGAGAGAAAAAAATCACAAGTCTAAAATGTTAAAACTGAATTTTAGTTTCCCCCTTCTTACTCAGACTAACAGCAACAGTACAGGTTTCAAGTGTTACTGGAATTTATTAAGTGTATGTACTTTTATAACAGAAATGCATTCACAGGAAGAATTTTCCAAAGTCTCAACTATAACCAGACTGTCTTTGCAATTTATGTAACATATATGCATGTGAAATACAAATATCAATGGAAGGGGAATAAACTGAAATAGGCGTGGCTTCCTGTTTCTAAGAAGAGTGGGATCTTTCCTCTTATTTTGAATTCATTCAGGAATGCATGAGGCACATCATGGATTCATTTTATTAGGAAGTTTTACATCAATGGAGTTTAAAAAATGCCAAAATTACAGTATCATGAGGAGACTAGCATGGGATATCCTTTTCTCTTAAGCCTGGTTTCCTTGAAAAGATTCTTTAACACTCTGGATACTCACTGTAACTATATGAACAAACTGACTTTTTAAAAGTAATTACCCGAACATAACATACTATTAACATCTAGAACTGAAAGTGAGAAGTACAATTCACAAAATGACTAGCAACAACAATATCTGCAATTGTAGAAGACACTTACATGACCCACAGTCTGCATCTGGGACAGTCTTCTAACTCCCCTCACTCACTATTTTTGGTAGTACTGCAACAGCACCAAGGACCCTCCGCCTCAGACCATGTCCCCATTGTGCTCAGGAGCTTAACTAGCGCAAAACGAGACAGTCCCTGTGCAAATGAGCAGTTTGCATGGTAACTGCAGAGCTCTATTTTCCCTCTGAGGCCTATTTAAGTTACAGGCCACTGTCAGGTAACTACAGGAGACGGATTCTTATGCTCCTTATGAACCGGTACCTCAACTCTAAATGGAGGATGCTGAATGCCAAATATCCTTTTGGAAGGGTTGACATGTAGGTTGCCTATCAAGTGCAAAGGCAATTTTTACTTTAAAAAACTGTTTGCTTACCATAATAAAGGCAAGTATTTGAGCAAAATAAAATCTGGGATTCAGTGTCCATTATCCACAAAGTAAAAGTATGTCTAAACCAATTGAATGTTAGCTTCAAACACAGAATTAATTGTGTTACCTAGTGAAGTCATGAGCAAGCTCTGGAGAGAAGATCCAGTTTGCTACGGCAGCACAATCAACTATCTGCGTCCGAATCATCTTATCCACAAGCACAGCAATCATCTGCAGTGTGGGAGAAAAAGAAATAGTCTGTTTACTATATTATAGCATCACAATACCTATGGTAATGAGATTCAGTCCTACCTGTTCATTGCTGATGTGAAACATAGGATGTGACAGGTAAAAATAACCCAGGATTAGGTGCTATCAGCTACAGTTTCCCCAATGACCCCTTCGCTCTCCACAGCGGCCATTAGCTAGCGCAGTATGAACGCCCTCTGCATGGCCTGCTGCAACAGGGAGTGTAGATGTGTGTGTAGACTGCACTGAAGGTGCAATTTTAACCAGACATGGTTAAGCTGCTGTGACTGTCTCTCTGACCTAGTTTTCAGACCGTCCACCCACAGTTTTCAAAGTAGAAGACGGGCAACAATTTAACTAAATCTGTATTTGCATTAGTTCCAAGTAGTGCACAACCACTGTTGAACCACAATAGCACACTTAAGGAATTAAGTTTATAATGACCTCAATTAAGCAACAGCCACATCGCAAAACCAATCTGCTAGATCCGTTGATCCAATCAGTTCTACATGCACACTGCACTGAGCTCAAGTTTATTGTAACTACTTTTTATTTGTCTTCAGTCAGAGCAAGCTCTAAGTGATAGACTTCTATTTCTCACTGGGAAGCATTTGACCCACATTTAGGTTTTGTTATACAAACCCTTACAAAACTTAAGGCCAAGAGAAATGATTCCATGATATTAACAACTCCAATGGAAATGGCTGTTTAACAAGAGACATTTTCTTGCAGGGTTAGCAACCCAAACACTGCGCTGAGAAGCTGAAAGTCAAATTGTCATCAATTTGAAATAAATGCTAGGAGGTCGGGGTATGTCTATACTACAGCCATTAGTTCGAATTAACTTTCATAGCGTCTATACATACAAACCGCTAGTTCAAACTTAATTCGAACTAGCGGAGCACTTAATTTGAACTAGGTAAACCTCATTCTACGAGGACTAGTTCGAATTAAGTAGTTCGAATTAAGGGCTGTGTAGCCACTTAATTCGAACTAGTTGGAGGCTAGCCCTTCCCAGCTTGCCCTGGTGCCCACTCTGGGCCAAACCCGGGAAACTTTTCTGCCCCCCTCCCAGCCCCAGAACCCTTAAAAGGCCACGGTCTGGCTACAGTGCTTGTGCCAGTTGCAAGCCTGCCAGCACCCAGCCAGCAGACCCTGCACCTGGCACGGGATGAGCCAGCCACCGGCTGCCACCCAGCCCTCTGCCTCTTCCCAGGACCAGGCTGACGGCTCCCAGGAGCCTGCCCAGGGTCGCAAGAGGCGGGTGCCCACCTGGTCTAGTGCGGAGATCGTGGACCTCATCAAGGTTTGGGGGGAGGCCTCCAACATCCACGACCTC